ACGGAGAGGAAGACTATTAGATCGCACAAGCACGCTGTGAGTCTACCCTTGTCATTGCTCGCCGGGGCGGCTACTAACACTGCGAGTAGGAGTTCGTCATGCGTATACACCGCAAGGGCGAGCTTGAGTTCTTCATCGGTAGACGGTACGGCGATTTCGTTAGACTGCATAAGAGGTTACGCCTCGAATTGCCCGGCAAGGTTCTGCCCACATTGCCCAAGAAGAACAAGTCGGACACAACAACCTCCGGACTGTTCTCTCTGACCGGCGGCGGCAGTCCGGATTCTTCTGCATCATCCGTGTCGTCAGTGTCGACCATGATGACCGGCCTCGCACCGCACGAGAAGGAATCTACCAAGTTGTCGGTGCTAGGTGAGTTCTCACCCTCTGTTTCCCGTATTTGTGCAATATCTGACGGAAATCAGGACACAAACGCGCAACCTCTACAGCTTCCAGTCGCAGGTCACCTCGCGTGTCAACTGACAGCAGGCCCAAGAGCCCCCTGCCCTTCCACACAAAGAAGAATGGCCAGGTGACGCTGTGGCGTGAGAGTCAGCGCGTCTCTCTCCGGGCTTTCATCCGCACCCTGCTCTCGAACCCCCAGATCGCGCAAACAAAGGCCATGGAGGAGTTTCTCACAAGGGACCCGATCACGCCGACCGATGCCGATATCGACGACATAGAGCAGAGAAGGGCAGTCGATGCGATGCGTGTGGAGGAACAGAAGAAGTTTTACGAAATTGCAAGGAAGCGTGCAGCTGAGCTTGATATCTACATGGAAGAGTATGTCACGTTACATGCTGCTGTGATCATTCTGCAATACTAACAAACTTTAGGTTCCGCCAAGAGATTGTTGAGCGCAATGGCCTCACCTCATTGTTCAAAGAGATCAAGGACAAGGAGACAATTCAGGACCTCAGCATTCAGTACCGAAAGTTCGCCGAGTGGCTCCGGATTGAGGTTGCTGCCACGATATACCACTTGTTCTTGGCGGAGGACAACTCTCCCGAGCTGTTTGCCCAGGCAAAGAGGATCCACTCGCTCATTCCGTATACCGTCATCAAGAATGTCATCAGGATTGCGAACCCAGCGGCCGTCATGTCTGGTATTTTGGACATCTTCCTGGCGCAACCTTTCGGCACCCGTTCGCTGCTGCAGCGCATCTTCTCGCTTACGCTCAACGACGGCATCAAGAGCTTCCAAAAATCTATCGACACTCTTGCCGCTAAGATCGGCGACGAGGTTTTCACGAAGAAGTTGAAGATGTACACGGAGGCCGAGGAGCATATCAAGCTTGCCATTCGGGAAGAGGCCGCTGCCGAGGAAATGGACTTGATTGTCGTCATCCTGCGTTCTGACTTCCTTGAGCCTAGCCTGACTTCTGATCAAATCGGCCGACTCTACAACGCCTACGTAGCCTTCAACAATGCTGTCGAGAACATCGATGAGGAGCTGAAGCAGGGAGCCCAACTCTTCTCGTACCTCAAGCAGTTCTTGAAACTTTGCACCAGGCAACACGACAAGGCCATGATGCTGCAGCTTGTGGAGGAACCGGTCACGCTCCAGCTGTTCCGCGACCTCTTCACTATCTTCTACGAACCCCTTGTCCGGGTATACAAGTCGGCCAATGTTTACAGCAGTGTTACCGACTTTGCTGTGTTCATCGATGACATGATCCAGGTAAGCAGACTTGCATGCAGGCTATATAATCGGGCGTGTACTAACAGGCTTTGTAGGTCGTGGAGAAGTGCCAGGAGCAGGATGCGTCGGCAGATCCGAACCAGACCGTACAAGCATTTATCGACCTCTGCCAAAGACACGAGAACAACTTTTACAAGTTTGTGCACGAGGTCCATACCCACGACAACGGGCTCTTCGACCAGCTGATGGGCTGGATCGAAGACATCCTAGAATTCCTCAGAAAGGGCCCTAAAAACGGCACTTTGAACATCAATGCCCTATTCGAGGGAGGCGTCAGCTCGGGCATCATCGACAAGGGCAAGGTCATCGAGGAGGTTAACCAACTCATCGCATGGCAAGAAGCCAGGAAGAAGTGGCACCACGACAAGACACGACAGAAGATGGCCGCCGAAGGAAATGGGGGCCCGGATCTTGCTCCCACAGGGTTCTCATCGTCAGACTTTGGCCTGGATCAGATGGACCTGGAAGACATGGCGTACGATGATGATGATGAAGAAGAGGACGAAGCAGAGGAAGAGGACGAGCTCGACCCGATCGAGGCCGAGCGTCGCCGTCGTGCCAAGAGACGCGATAGGCTTCGCCGGAGCGCCGGCGAACCGACCAAGCCGCCTGTCTCCGAGATTCACAAACTCAAGGAAAATTTCCTTGTCATGTTGCGCGAGGTTCTTGCCCAGTAAGCTTTATAGAAGCATGATATCCCTGGCTCGTAACTTGGGTTCATATACTTGGTGGAATTGGTGGTTGGCACATTTGAGGGCATCAAGCCCCATGGATTCGGCGTTTGGTATGGATTGTTGTTACAATACGTATTTTTATTATGAGGCTGTAAATTCTCCGCGTGCCCCGATCTTGCCCGAAGTTACATGCGTTGTGTGGGAGTCGTATGTTCTCCAGGGCAGCAAACAGGAAATACGTAGGGTTTGGTTCGATTGAGGCAGGGGCCGCTCACCTCTGTCGCAAAGGCTCACGTGAGGTACTAGTCACTCAAGAATGCATCATTACCATTGCCGTCATCTGCCCGCTACCCATCGTAGACACGTAACACAGGGTGTATTCCTCCTCAATTCCAGAACTCCGTCCCGAAACACCATCACCACCACCACCACCACCGGCCCCTTGAACCCCATCAGTGCTTCGAGTACAGGTCCATCATGCCCGCCTTGAAGTCGGCGATCTCCTCCCTCTGCGCCCGGGTCCGCGTCTCCAGGCTCGTCACCCGCTCCTGCAGCGCCGCAATCTTCTCGTCCTTAGCCTTGAGCGCCGCCCGCACCGTTTCCCGCCCCCGGGCCAGCCCTTTCGCCTGCATCGAGAACCGCCGCAGCACGTCCCCGACGGCCCGCGCCGTCGCGTCGTCGACCTTTTGCCCGGCCAGCAGCGCCAGCACCTCCTCGGTCGGGTCGAGCTGCTCCTCTCCCCTGGACGGCGTCGACGAGCACGGCCCCGCGTCCCCGGCGGTCGTACCCGTGCTCGTGGAGAAGGACGTGTTAGGGGACTGGCCGGCATCGTCGTGCCTCCGCCGCTTGGCGTCGGGGAAGAGCGTCCGTGTGACCGTCTGCGGCGTGGGCAGGGCGGCTCCATCCCGCACCGTGCGCTGCGCTGCGGGCGTAGACGGCGACGGCGGCGGCAGCAGTGGCGCCGCACCACGGAGCTTTCTGGCGCTGCGCTCCATGGCTTCGTTCATCGCCCTCTCCTCGTCCGACGACACGTCGCCCAGCCCGTACTCGTCCGCGCCGTCGTCCGACTCGAAATCGAAGAGCACCCTTTTTCTCTTGGCGGGACGGGGTGATGCCTCAGCCCCGACCTCGTCCGGTGGACCGTCCGCCTCGAGGGCAGCTTGTGTCGGTCGGGTCGTCGAGAAGTAGGTATCTAGGAACTTCTGCCTGGCGACGCTCCTCTGCACAGACGGCGACGGCGGCGCAGCTGTTGCCGCGGCGGTAGTGGGCCTCGAGGCGATCTTATTGGCGGAAGCCGTGCTCGGCGTCGGAACCTGCGCCGTCTGGATGGTACCGGCAGCGGGAGCGCCGTCCGTCGGCATCGGCGGCAGGGTCAACGTGGACCCTTCGGCCCGGTTCTTCGCGTCCTCCTCCCAGAGGAAGAAGGTACACCCGCCCCGTCTCTTCTCGCACTTGTAAAAGAAGCGCCCGTGGTTGGCGTTCTTCTTCTTCACCTGGAGTTGTACGGCCTGCTGCCGCGGCGTACAGTTGCAGTACCAGTTCCCCTCCAGGTAGAGCCCGTCGAGACGCCTCTTCTGTGACGGGGGAGGCGACGGGGAGGAGCCCGTCTGCCCAGCGGTGTGCCGGTCGCTTCTGGGGGTGTATGTTCTGCTCCGGCTTGCGCTTCCACCTGCGCTGCTGCGGCTGTAGTTGCTGTTGTACATGAGCCGCCGACCACCGCCCCGCGGAGTTCGGGAGACCATCTTCGCACACAGATGAGGGAGGGTGTTGCTTCTGTTGGTGATGGTCGTGGTCTGGGTACCAGCGGTAGCTACTGCCGTGGACGTTACTTTCCCTTTAGCGGCGTTGCCGACTTTAAGGTGCGGATGGGTCCACGGGAGCCGGCGGACCATGTGGTGGTAAATCGGGGTTCAACTCCTGGTTGTCTTGGGGAAATGGTTGGTTTTGGCGGCGGGCGGTTACGAAGGTGATGTCATAACTGGTACCTGTCGATCTCTGGCTGTTCTACGTAGTCTGTTTCTGCTAGAACACAAGGGCAATTGTTTTTCTTTCTTTTTCTTTATGGCCGTTCGTCTCCAGATTGTCGCAGTGAGGGAGAATGAAGCATTGGAATCCTGGATGCAGATAGTTGTGCGGTCGACACATAGCCAGCCGCGGTCGTCGGGCTGAGGTCGAGGGAACCTGCCCCGCCTGCGCAGCTCCATTTTATTTATTGGGAGGGCTGGGGGAGCAACCGAGTGGGAGTGGGGGTTGCCGGGTGATTTTGGGGGTCTCGCTCTGGCGGGACGGAAGCTTTCCCCGTTCACCTCAACCCGGCGCAGCGGTACCTGCTGCCGCGCTACCGCCCCTTGGACCCTTGCTTGCGAGAGACAGTGGTTCTTCTGAGGTCGCTTCACATTCCCCCGCCTTGGGTACCTTGTGTACATACCTACATAATGATGATTCAGATCGGGTGACAAGTCCCGGTCATCTTCTTACGCTTCGTGAGGTCTGGGAAATGCAAAGCTGTCTGCAGTCTAGTCTAATCCATTGAACGCCACTTGGGCTCCCCGAATCATGCATTCCGCATACATATCGGGCCTCGTTTGAATATCATCACATGGAAACCTAATAAGTCGCTCCACGGTGGAAGATATTGACATGCATTAGAATTAGAATGTACCTGAGCGAGTCCTCAAGACCTGCGCTTTCGAGGGTATGTAATGAGAGCCCTGCCCACACTAGTATTAACACACACCAACGACCATTCCAATACGCAGCCTCCTCGCTACTTTGCCCACCACATCAGAGAAACCACGTCTACAAAATTCAAGCCTCTATGACCAACGACGCAACCTGACCGCTCGCTATGCATGTTCTGGGCAGCGAAGCCAACTTGCTGTAGAGTATCGTCCCCAGCTCCGTTCGTCACATTCCTAACCAGATGAGCAGGAGAATAAGGCGGGTATATGTAAGCCAAAAACAGCATCACAAAGGAAATCAATGGGAAGCAGAAACCACCCCCTGCTCTGAGTCCCATGTATACCCTCACACCTCGTAAAAATAGTCCTCGTCTAGACCGTCCCGACTGGGAATCATCCCAGTGCCCGGCGTCGGCCCGGTGTAGGCAGCCTCTATCCGCACGTTCAGCAGCCTGATCTTCAGCCCAAAATCACTGACGAGGTTAACAAGCTTGTTCGTCTCGGCCGTGATGGGAGCCTGGTTGAGCAGCATCAGAAGGCCATCAAGCCACTCTGAGGCCAGGCTGTGCGTAACCGGGTAGAGCGTCAATACCGCCTGTTCCTTTGCATCGCCGCCCTTGGCCGCCTCGATGGGATCGACGTAGCTGAAGATGGTGATCTTGGTTGTCGACTTGCCCGTCGCGTGGTTCTTGAGCGTCGAACTGCTGGTCGCGCTGCGAGTCTCTTCGTTGGGCGCTGACACGTTGGACACCACCGAGCTAATGGTGCTGAGATCGACCTTGTCCGTTAACACGTCGAGACCTGGGTCTTGTGCTATTTGCGTTTCGAAGTCGGCGTAGTGGAGGTACCGGCGGTTGTGTGATAGTTTGGCGAATCGCCACGGCCGGGGTGTGTATAGACGACGCTTCTGAGGCTCGCTTTGGGGGTTAGTGTCCCGCCGGGGCATTGGTTTTGAAAACCATGAGCCCTGGAGCAGACATCGGATCCGCTGTTCCTTGACAAACTGGAGAGCCTCCTGCCTCAACTCATCGCGGACCTGGTACAGATGCTGGCCCCACTGATCTTCGAATGACAGTTCTAGGAGTTCCATCTGCAGCTCTCGCAAACGGGTGCAGTCGTACTCCAGAAGCTCCTCCTCAACCTCTATCACGTCCTTTGTCCTGCTGGCCTGGCCGACAACTTGCTCGATGAGTATGCGGACCAGCTCTGCCACCTTCTCGAAATCGAACTGCTCTGCGGCCGTCGACTTCCACACTCGGAAGAAGGCCTGCAGCCCGGCTGTGTGGAGCCTTGACCATTGGAGGATGAGTGGGCGGAATAGTTTTTCGTTATTCTTAGCACCGTCCAGGCCTTGATAACTCTTGGTGTCCTCGATATCCGACTTCTCGACCTCAAAATGGTCGTATAAGATCATCGTCACCGCAAGACTTGCGCGCGCGATCGGGCATCTCTCGTTCTTTGGCTTCGTCGACTGCTCCAGCAGCATCTTCTGAAAGCTATCTTCGTTCTTGCGCACGTAGTCTGTCAAGTCCATCATACCTAGAAAGCCAGGAACTTCGAACTCTTGCGCGGGGCTCTCCGTTTCAAAGCCTAGCCTCCTCCACTTCTCTGGGTTGTGCCGCCGGCTTCCTCTCTTTCCAACTTCGTTCGGCTCGTCCGTTCGGGATGTGCCATTGACTTGCTTCTCCGGGTTGCTGGCAAGGTGGAGGCCCTTGAGTCCCCGTCTGTGTTCGGGCCGCTCAAGGTCAACCCTGACCTCACGCCATTTCCTCAGCAGAATTTTGGTCAGGGACTGGAACTCGAGCAGAGGATGCGCGAGATCCTGCAGCGAGGAGCTCTGCATCAGGCTGTATACCGCCTTGATCAGACCAAGATCCTGCAAGCGTTTGATGAATTTTGACCACTCCTCTATCGCGGGAGAGCTCGACCGGGTGGAGACACTACTGTCGCTGGAGATGGAGTCCCGGATCATGGCGTTGATGAGCATGAGGGCATTACCACACAGCGCGTGGTCGGCTGACTCGAGCTGAGCGATGACGAGCTCAAAGAACTGCGGGTAAACTGCAACGGCCGGTTTCAGGGCCCGGAAACCAAATGAGCCCGGCGTGCGCGGGGTTGACGGGCGGGAAGACTGCGTATGGCCAACGAGGGCGACCAAGATCGACATAGCGCCACGAAGAATGTTGACGAGTGGGTTCGTAACGATCAATTCGACGATGCGTTCAACGAGGTCGCCTGAAGACGATCCCTCAAAGATTTCCCAGCCCATGTCAACCTCCAATAGGCGCGTCAGACTCTGTAGCGAGTACGCCAAGGTGTTTCCTCCTGCACTCATGATGAGGCGTCGCAGGACAACCAGACCACCTGAGGATATGAAGACGTCGGCGAACGCAGGATCGTTGATGGATGACTGTAGCTTGAAGACGGCCATCTTCCTGGCTGCGTCCTCGTCGCTCGCGAGGCGTGAGAGGAGGGCTGGGATGTCGGCCTGATCCATGGCGGCGGCGTGTATGTACGGAGTTCGAGACTGTTTGGCGTCGGCGCGGAGACCGGTGTCGGGAGAGACAGAGTCGTCAGCAGGAAGGAGAGACTGTCGATTTCAAAATCATGGCCCGCAGTCGTCGTGGAAGAAGCAGCGCCTTCGGCCAGGCTATATAAAGCAAGTGGGCGTCCGGGGTATCGATGTCGGAGGATGTGCGGCCGAAGGCCCGTGTCAGCGAAGATGTAACACGGATAGAAGCCTCTGCAGATCGTTCTTCCACACGGGTGAAGTGAAGAGGCGTCGATTGTGTGTTTAAAAAAAGAACTTTAGTACCGCGTCTTCGGCGAGAACGGGAACACAAGAAGTATACAAGGATGGACAGGAAGGAGATGGTGGTGGTGGTGGTGGTGGTGGTAGACTAAAAGGAGGGAGGGTGTGCGTGCGAGGGCTGTCGCGGTATCAGACCAGATGTTGACTTTCGTCCGCATTGGACGCGCACGGGTGGGAAGTTTGCGCATGTCCTGCAGGAGGTGAGAAAAGCGCAGATACGTATATCGTGTACGTACCTGGATCAGCAAGCCTCCGACCGGCCTTCGGTTTCTGGACCGTTCGCTCTCTTCACCCGAATGGGGGCTAGTCTACAGCTGCCTAGTTGCGCCAATGTTAATGCACGGCTTCTGTCTGCACCAGCTATTACCAATGGGTGGTTTCTTTTTGTGGGTTATTGGAGGGTAATCTGGCTTCGAACCGTGACGACGGCCGGACCAGGGTGACTGGTCAGCAGGAGGATACCTAGCGCATCCAACGATGAGTTTCACCATGCCTTCCCGCCGGAGGCCATGCCGGTAGATGATTTGCATCGTGTCTGAAGAAACTCTATGAAGGCAACAAGAGCGACTGTTCGTCGTTTTCTTTTTCTTCAATGTGGTGCCACCCAGGAGCTCTGACCTTTCTACTGGGAGTTTGGACTCTCTTCGGCAAGACATCGTCATCGAGTGAGTCAACCTTTACATGCACAGGCTGGTCCGAACGATAGCCAACAGCACAACCACAAGTACAGATCCAGGGTCATCGCCATCTCCGAGGATCATGCCAATCAAAGCTTGGTCTGAATCTCTCGGCATCATCTCATCCTATCCCCCGGGGTACCGAATGCCCCCTTAGCGGGTAGATCACTACGTTTCAAAAATGAGGCCAAAGAAGCAACGCTGCCGTGTATCGTTATCAATGGTGACGGCGTTGTTGTTGTTCAATGCTTATCCGTACTAGAGCGCGGAATGTGTCCTATGGAAGACTCCCATAATAGTTCTCAGGGTTGTTGACAATGCTAAATAAGAGCGATTTCCGAGATGAAGATGCCGCAGAGGACTAGATTAATCCCGATTTAAGGCTGGTGCGTATGAGAAACAAAGGCGTTGCGAGAAATGTTCTAGACCACAAATAGGAAAGACCCGATACGTAGCTATCCGATACCTGGAATGTGTGGAGACGAGGCAAGACCATCGCTCGAGCCACCATCGCTCGAGCCACAGCTTACTAGTCACCGCGTCTGCCACACAGCAAGCTTCAGCCTCCGCATTAGTAATTGTTGTGGCGCAAGGCTGCTAGATATTTCCTCGCCGTCGCATCGTTGCCATCGAGCAGCAGTTCCAACTCATCCTAACGCGGCGTCATATTCATTTTTCTCCCTCGACGGTCAATTGATCCGCGAAGCACCAGCCTTGCACGACCGAACCGGTATCCCGAATATAACTCAGCTGAAAACATCGTCCCTTAACACCGCGACAATGGCCAACTTCCTCGCCTCCATCTTCGGCACCGAGCTCGACAAGGTCAACTGCTCATTCTACTTCAAGATCGGAGCCTGCCGCCACGGCGACCGCTGCTCCCGGAAACACGTCAAGCCAAGCTACTCCCAGACCATCCTCATGCCCAACCTCTACCAAAATCCGGCATACGACCCCAAGAACCGCATGAACCCGTCCCAGCTGCAGAACCACTTTGACGCCTTTTACGAGGATATTTGGTGCGAGCTCTGCAAGTACGGCGAGCTAGAGGAGCTGGTCGTGTGCGACAACAACAATGACCGTACGTGTTCCCTCTCGTTCTCTTCCCTTTCCTCCCAAGCTTCTCATGGTCATCTGCTCGAGAAATATGCATACTGACTGACGGGTCGCAAATAGACCTCATCGGAAACGTTTACGCGCGCTTCAAGTACGAAGACTCGGCCCAGAAGGCCTGCGATGACCTCAACTCGCGGTGGTACGCCGCGCGACCCATTTACTGCGAGCTATCTCCCGTCACCGACTTCCGCGAAGCCTGCTGCCGCCTTAATTCGGGCGAGGGCTGCGTCCGCGGCGGCTTTTGTAACTTCATCCATCGGAAGAACCCCTCCGAGGATCTGGACCGCGACCTCACACTCAGCACAAAGAAGTGGCTCAAGGAGCGTGGCCGCGACGAGCGCAGCCCCTCGCGCTCCCCCACCCCGGAGCCCACGCGCCGCCGGTACTAGGCGGATGGGCGGATGGAAGAGACGGCAGCGGCGACGGTGACTACTTTGGTACCAACTCCTGGCCGTACTGGCGGCAGCGGCGGGGAAGTACGGCGGTGGGGTCTGAAGCTACGGATATGACGATCCTTGGAATTACTCGTCAATCCCTCCCGATGGCGCAATTCCACAGGAGAGTGGCAATGACCGCACCGAGAGCTTTCGATTAGGAACTCGCGCGGCATTAAAGGAGGAAAATCTCCGCCGCCGAGTCTAGAGGGACGAGGCGAAACCCCTGGAAAAATTGATTTGATACCCAACCCCTGTGTTTTCTCGTCTCGACTGGGTGAATTGGACGACCTACAGAAAAACGAGAGAGAGAGGCAGAGAATGTGTGTGTGTGCAAGAAAGCGGCGTTCAAGGCGTTTCGAGGACGAGTAGTTTCACAGGGGACTTTTGAAAGGCAGGAGTATCATTTATAAATCATGTCAAAATAGGTAGTGGCTCGAAACGCAGAGCAACTACAAATCCCACACTTTCCAATTACGAAATATTTGTCGCAGTTAAATGCCATTATTGCTGGTCCGGAAACAATGCTACACATATCTACAAAGGTATCCCATTTCTACCAAAACCCCCGATTTTCGCCAGTGCACTCAATTCGTACCACGTACTTCTCTCCTATAGTTTGAGACTTGCCTCCCGTGATGAATAAAGGTGAATGTGAAAGTGACACAGACTTTGTGTATGACAACCCGAGAATACATTATCATAAGGCTTGCAGAGCTTAACTTGACGGCTCCAAAGCATCATGGAAATTATCCTCGCTAGTGTCGGCCCGCTTCAATGGCGGAACGTTCTTCATGTCTGTCGTGAAGTCCATTAAAGGGCCCTCGGCAGGTTTTGACCCCGTCTTGTTGAGCATACTCTCGATGTCCTCGGACCCGCTGCGCTGTTCTGGCGCAACTGGAGAAGCAGCGGCCGAAGGCTCAGTGGCTGGCACAGAGGGTGTCGCGGCAGCGGATGTGGCAGCCGGAGCATCACCAAAGTTAATCAAGTCGTTCCCACCGTCCTGCTGTCGGACGACCGGGGCCTGCTCAGCCGGTGCCTGAACCTCGGCCGTCAAATGCCCGTGGGAAGGGTCAGCGGTCGTCGCAAATGCCTTCTGTCCTGGAAGAATAGGGTAGATGGCCAGGATCTGTTTAGTTTGCCCCTCCGGAGTCATGCTGTCACTGCTTCATGTCAGCTAATCGGTTCTAGAGGCACGGGTATCTTTGTCGGCGGATACGCACATTTTGGCGTTGATGATCCATTCCAGCTCTTCCTCTCCTTCGTCGTAGCCATCAGGCCCAGCGTGTACACTTCGGAAGAGCTTAGGATGCCATTCGATGCCTTCGCGTGCTCTAATCTCCCGTTCTTCTCGTTGCCTGTCCTCGACCTTGGTCTTCTCGTCTGTTGCGAGCTCATGGTTGCGGTCCTTCACGGCCTGAGCTGTTGCCAGCCAGAGCTTCTGGGACTCCCGCTCATCCTGCTCTTCGATTGGCCGGACCAGAGGATTGCTCGGTTTCGACTTCCTGGCATTGAAGAACATTTCCTTGTGCCCAGTCTAAAGCTAGGTTAGTTGTCATGCAATGAAAAGCAGCGCTGTTGGGAGTTTACCTTGACATCCTTGACATACATCTCTTCGCTCCAGAGTCCCGATAACTCGTACAGAACTTCGCCCGTGCTCTCGTGCTTGATGAAACCGCCAATGGCATTGTAAGTGCCACTGACCCAGCCCTTCGTCTTGAACTCAATATCGGCAACCAAATCAAGTTCCGGGCAGCGGACAAAGCTGTGGTCTCCCAGCTCGTACTTCATCTTTCCGAACAGAATGCCTCGGGCGTACATGTTGGGCTGCGTTAAGATGCTGGATTTGACGTTAGTATCCAATTATCCCATATCACTTTTTGGACCACATACTATCGTTCGCCCTTGGACTTGTCCTTGCCTCTGTTGAGTAGAGTCAAAACGGCTGTCCCTTCCATCATGCTTGCGGCCGAGTTCCCCAGAAACTTGCTTCTGGGCTTGAGCGTGCCATCAACGCGAATGTGGTGTTCGGGAACCATGTAAAAGTAGCTCGACTTGGGAGGGTGATGCGACGTTTGCTCGGAAACATAATAGGCCTTCGTGTTATCGGGCAAGTCCCAGTAGCAGGTGAATATCTCGCCAAGGATTGGATTAAGCGGCTTCTTCACCCCTCTATATATAGATCAGCGACACTGTAAGCTCCCGCGGGTAGTTCGGGGGAACCAACGGTGGTCGAATGTGCCATCCGCTCAAGTAGAACTTGACGACGGAAACAAAACGCAGCAAAGGGTCGTCAATCTCGGGAATGGGAAGGAGCATCTCGGGGTGGCACATGAAACTATGGCGAGCGCAAAGGGTCAGCAAAGGAAGCTCCGGAAGACGAATCGGCAGTCTGAACCACTGACTTGGTAATTCTCTCAAGCATGCTACGGGGCTCAAGAATGAAAGTCGGCAGAACAACGCGACTCAGGTCGGCTCCAGGTCGCAGCTGAGAAATAATATGGCCGAGTACTGAGCTGTATGTTAGCCAAGATGCATGCAAGGTATCGCGCGGGGAAGCTGTTGCGGGCGCGCCAATGTTGCTCATGGAAGTTTCGCTCACCATTACCCTGATCGGGCTCAACCACAAGGGTATCATCATCTTCAGCGGCGGCAGCTCCCCTAGTCTCGTCGACGCTTGACCGGTTGCTAGCTGGAGGGTTGGAAAGCCAAGAGGTCAGCATTGTTGGCGACAACTTTTTTTTCTCCTGTGACGCACGCACGGCGGGAGGCTCGAGTAGTGGGGTGAGAGAGAGAGTCTTTTCGGAGTCCCGGGAGAGACTCCAAGGCTACGCACGCAACAAAGGAACGAGCGGGGAGAGCAGGAAACAATAGCGAACTGGGGGGGGGATGTTGACAGAGTGGGCGCAGTTTTGTCGCTGTAGGAACGACTTGAAGGGCGCGACGGGGAGAGAACGACAGCTATTATGCGTACATTGGGCAAAAGGCAGTTGCGCTGGGGCGGGTAAGACTCACTGAGGCTGGACGTTCTGGAGCGTCTTCCTGGCACATGGACCAAACCCATGACTGCGACTGGCTCTGGATAGGCGGTGCGTGCAGCGATGCCCCCTCAGTTGTACTTGCAGCCGCTATCGGTCTTGTCGGCGCGCTGCCTGGGATACACCTTCTTGGCTGGAATTGAGGGGCAGTGCTCCCCAGGCAAGAAAGGCGCTGCTGGTGTGTTTGGGTAGGGATAGAGTCGGCAAATGACGGGCCTCGCAGCCCGGTACGTAGTTGAGCAAGAAGATGTGGACTGGCGGTAGAAACAGCGGATGGTCAGAACTCGGGTGTGGGAATTGCCGTAATAAGAACAGTTGCAGGTCAGCGCGCAGAACAATGGTTGAGTTCAAGTGGAACAAGGAAATGCCGGTGAAGGAAGTGTTGGAGGGACAAGGTTGGCGACGTATCCGTTGGAAAGCAAGCGAAAGGGAAGATGTCGAGTGAGCGGGAGGGAGCCTTAGGTAGTTTTTCGAGAAAAGATGGGTGATGGGCCTGAATAGGCGGTGTCTCACTATTCCTTGCTCGTCTCTCCTGCAGCTGCTGTTGGCGTGTCTAATAGCACAAAGTAGCGAGGGGAGGAGAGCAAGAGAGCGGACAAGGGAAGGCTAGGAGATGAAGCGGAATGGATGCTTGATATAAAAATGTACCCCGTAAGGTCCGGCGTGTCCGGCGTGGCCATAGGAACGGTCAGAGAATATTGGTTCACTGAGGAACGGCCGGAATTTGGGACGAGAAGTGAGAATCAAGAGATGAGTTACCGATATCAAAGTTGACCAGGGAAAATCAGAACTAAGCTATGCCTTCTTGCCTTCTTATCCGAGAACAGAGTCTAGTAGATTCCTTAGCAGTTTAGCAATATACAAACGCATACAGGCAGGCAAGTCGGCGGCAAGGCAACAGGAGGTAGCAGTGTAGATCACAAATCTGAATAGCACCACTACCAAGTCACCAAAAGGCTGGGTTCCCATGCAATCCTTACGTCGCTCGTAGGGACCCCCACCACCGACGAGGGGTGATGACGTCGCGTTAACTATCATTTTAGGATTTTTCTTTTCTTTTCTTTTTTTCGTACTGGTTCCGCGCGCCAGTGGCCTAGAACCAAGTTGGCGGTCATGAGTTGCACTACTGCGAGCTTAGGAACCATGACTGCATGCCAACGCAACCGTCTCTAGATGTATTTATGAGTTAGTCTCGTCTCTCTCAAGAGATGAATCTGGCTTCCGGCTGATGATGAGACGGGGTTGTTTCCCAGACATCGAGATGCAGCCCGCACGCATCGTTTGCACGGGAGTGCCACCCCAGCTTCCTTCCCCTCCTTTCTCTTCCGTCCCATCCCCATGTCTGATGTCTACAATGCCGTGTTACCCTGCTTGCATCCAATCACATGCCCACGCCAATTCTCCTCATGAGCCAATCAGTCGGTAAGGGTCTCCTCTTCCGTCCAGTGGTTCGCCCACCCATGTACCTCTGGGTAGTCCGGTGATTAGCTACACTACGCACTATGATGGGAGCACACGTACGGATACAGTGAGTGGCATAAACGCCTGACGCAGTTGTATATGTATTGCAGCTCCATCATCCTAACCATCTCCCTAATATCATGTTTTCAGCTAAAATTCGGACAGAGAGAAATGATGGGAAGGGGACATGTTGACCTGGACAGTACATGCTGGGAGGAATAATTGGATGAATCAGATGCCAAGTAATTGCTAGAGGTTGCCTTCTGTTGGCCTGTGATATGCCTTTCTCTCGCACGCATCCCACCATCATGCGGGTGGATTGTGGCAGTGCTGTTCATGGCTTCCTTCTGCACAACAGACACCATTCAAGATGCTCGTCGAACAAGGTGTGCTCGCAGGTTCTTATAGATTCAACACATGAACATGACTTCCCAATTCAGCCTTTCACTCACACAT